GGCCTTGTTTAAAATAATATATTGTTTCTAAAATGTTTACATGAGGAGTTTTGACAAAAAAATTTGTAGAAGACTTCATCTTTACCACTATCTACACACATAGCGCTGAAGCTTATAATAAAGACAAATTGTTGATGTAATAGAAATGAAACAGTGACAGAAAGGCATGAAGGTACATCTTTGTTAGCTCGTGTCATTTCGCCACCACTGCAGCAAGCTGCCTCTTTGTAAGTCATTTTAGACAACATTTTCTGCAAACCTACAACAACCCCCATCACATTAAATCATTCAAAAACTTGTGGGGGAGAACTCGTTTGAGAAAAACAGTTTCTTCATATCTTATATCAGACTATTACCCCCATACGGTGTAACTGCTTTAAAGCATGACATAAATTCTAGTGCTTTTATTTTCCATTTTATTTCCTCAAGGATCCTTGGATCACAGGCAGGGATACCATTCAAAATGATCCTCATCCATGTTATTTGAAGCTGTGTGTTTATACTATGTTAGACGTGTGCTACGTGACAGAATTAATACTAACTGAAGGTTTAACAGAGGTTGCAGTGGATAGAGTATAGAAAAGTTTATATGTCCACTACCTACCATTACCCACTAATGAAACTTTACATCACGTTAATGAGTATTTTAATCAGCCCTGCAGAGTTCAATGACCACTACTCTTTACCCCAGTGGAGACAAAGACTGTTCAAAATCCTTCAGCAAATGACATAAAAACAATGTTAACAGTGCACTCTCAAACTCTGCCTCCACACTTTTGCAAAACACAGCTCAGCGTTTGCATTACATGACATTTGAATATGTGCAATGTCACAGACTACAGAGGACACCTGCTCAAACCATCTGCTGCCGTCTGTGAAAGTCTGTGTTAGCATTACTTTTTAGGACAGGCTGAAGGACAGCATAAATTTACATACCTGAGAAATGCTCAAAGTCATTAATGAAGGCACACCAACTCAACACATTAAATATATATGCTAGGCCTGATCAAATCTTGTTACATTGGTGGGTGGGTTAATTAATACATGAGTTATATTGTGAATCAAAGCCACTGCGCACTGCGAGGAAACATCGTTTTCTCCCATGTTCAACAGCCTATCACAGTTTTAGGATGGTGTCTGTGCACACACAATAGTGGCAGCACTGTTAAAAAGCTGCACACCAGATGCTGATGAGGACACATGTGCATCTTCCAATTAAATGTATCTTGCATGGTAATCACAAAATGATTGACTATGTGCAAGGAATGACCTTTAACCATATGGTTGGCAACTGGCACCACTCATGGCACTTTATAGACTAAATTACAACATTTAGCTACAAGTTTAGGTTCTAACCTTGATACTCTTACTGACTTGAGTCTTTTCATTTGAAATAAACCCTCACGTTGGTGGAGAGCCTTTATATACTTGGGGTTTATTGCAAAAGTTACAGCAGTTGATGCTATTAGAGGTGCTAAATGATGTTTGCCAAAGGCAATAGCAGTGATCCTATTTTTGTTGCACTTTTGAGGACGGTGCTGATGAGCAGCCATCTGTTGGATGACTCTGTCAAATAAATGACTATAAAATGTGCCATAAACATGAAACCTGAGGAAAACTTTATTTTTTTTTCTCTCCACACAAGTCATTAAGTTTCTTATCTTCATACGGTAGCTGGATAAGAACTCAAAACCCATCTTCTCTGACAAAAACACTAATGAGACTTGATGCCATTTTCACAGTTTGGGGCAATTTACTGCTGTTTTTTTATGACTGCATCACCATGGTGTAACATCCCTCTTGTGTTTCTTAACCTGTTACAATGCAGATATTTTACACCTGCTATTCTTATGAGAAGAATTCACCCTACATCTGTTTTTGAGATTAGTACTGAAAATGTGTTAAAGAATAAAAATGCAATGTCATGTTAAAGCGTTTCAGGTTTTCTATGCTGTTTCAGAAGACAATAAACGGTAAAGATACAATTTATGGGGGAAATTTCCAACATACTCCATCAGGACATCTACACATAAATAACTCTAAAAGAACCTTTGACAGGATCCCAACATTATTTTATAAAGGAATTATAAAAATGTTCTGACTTAGGGCTTGATACTGCAGAAACAGTCATCAACACTTTGGTCCTTGAAATGTAAAGAATTTATTTTTAATAAAAGTATGAGAAACGCCAAAACTGTACATTTTGTTTCTGTAGAAGTTGTATTTGTTGAGACGCTGTTACACACATAATGTATTTTTTGCTTTTTGTTTCGGAGCTTGGATTTATATTTAATATATATTATTTGTGCACTCAAATCAACCTTTTCGCAAGACAGCAAAGCCTTATAAAGTTGCCCTATAAAATAAATTTTGTTAAAGCTGGCTTTTATTTTTTAGACACTGCGGTGTAGAAAACTATATGCTGCAAGTCAAAATTTCAGTTTTAATGAACTCATAGAAGCATAAATCTTGCGCCACCAATTCAAAGAAATAATGGCCTCTAAACAGCTAAGCATCCCTAAGAAATCTGAAAATATTGATGCCTCCAAAGCTTTAAAACATGGAACACTGCCGAGCTTCTCTCTGTGGATTCCATTTTGTAGTGTAATTAAAAATAGCAGATAAGAACAATGGAGGCCAAGTTAACGGTAGTAAAAAAACAAGTACCGGTACTCCTTGAAAGGTAAATATAGCCTTAGATAAAACACATGACACTGTGTTTAAAAAAAAACATAAGCCAAACTGCAGAATACCTAACTGTGAGGAAATACTTGATACATCTTTATTGTTTATAGCAGAATTACCAAAGCAAAAGTGATGCTAAACAAATGCACTTAAGTGATCAGCAACTATAAAAACCTTCATAAAAACTGATGACGTCTCTTTACCAGAGTCTAATTTGGGAGCAAAAAATACACCTAGGTAAAAAAAAAGTCACCTACTGTATCAAACTAAATTTAAAAAAAAAGGCAACACAGCATAAGACTCATATTTATTAAGATGCATTTAAAAGCAAAAGCATATCTGCAACAACGTCACACATTGTAAACAAAAGTGGTTAGAAATGCACAATCCTACATTAATAAATAAATAAATAAATAAAACTGCATAATGACGCAAATGCTTCAAACTGATTAATAAACACCTTTGTGGACAGGTCATCATCTGGACTTGTTTCACAGCCTCAGGATCTCAAGATCTATAATACAACATACAAATGCAAACCCCATGGGCAGTGGGAACACAATTAAGGTCAGCTGGCCTGCAAGCAAGGTTAGTGCTGCTCAAAGTGAAGTCCAGAAAGCAACCCCGAAACAGATTCTCTTGGGACTTCCACCTTACCAGCTGTGCAATGAACCACTGACCTTAACCACACGCCTCTCTTTCCAATACAGCCACTTGTGATA